CAGGAACTATGTGCTTTTGTTAATGGTATTAGTCTGGCATGAAACCCTGTCTTACTTGTCACAATGAGTTCAAGGTAATTTGTTGTTTATTACACCATAAGCATGCTGGTACAAGCACATGATAAATCATTATTAATTCTTCTTACCTAAACAGATATTTCCACACTTAAATTTTAGAAGGGTTTTTTTCCTAACACTTCAGTTGTCTTTTGGGCTGTCAAGAGGCATTAAGAATCACTACCTGTAGTCATCCTTTAGTTACAAACTAATGCTGGTCCAAAAATCAGGCAAGTAAAAAACAACTGATTATAGAATAAATATGTAGATCACGATATATGGGGAACTATTTTTACATTGGCAGGAGTTGAGGCTAGATAAATTCTAGGCTTCTTTCAACTCATTTCTCTGATTTACACCACTCCCTTTCTCTCTCTGTGCTATATATATACTCTATCAGAGCTAGCTCATCTAGTTAATAAAAGACAGGAGATCTCAATGGAATTGAATGTTCATTTAATGCCAGCTGCTCTGACCATTGTAAGGACTATTAAAAAGAAAAATATTAAAAAGGAAAAAAATGCTTGGAAATCTACCAGACTTGAAAAGCAGAGCTGATCAGAAAGGAAATTGAATCAAATCTATTGAACAGAGAAGAATTCTATCCCCCTCTCCCCCCTGTTCTTGGGAACGGAGTGGAGGACATTCTATACACAGTCCCCTGTCCCATGCAATTCTCCAACCCTCAATTCCATGACATCCTGCAATCTTGGGCTATATCTATACTACAAGGGCAGTACTAATGTGGCTGAGCCCCCCATGTGGGTGCAATTCTGCTGGTGGAAGTTGTTTCCATGCTAGAGCTACACCAGGTTTCCCAAAAGACACAAATTCTGTGGTAGACACTGCCTTCTGCCATCAGAGTTAAGTCCACCTGGGAGTTTTCCTGGTATGGCTGTGCTGGTTGTGGGGTGGGAACTTTTCATACTCTAACCCCACACAGCTATGTTATAAAAACATTGTAATGCAGACGGGCCTTTCAAATACCCAGCCACACAATAACTAGCACCCTGATAGGTGGTCATGTCCTCCCTATGACACCAGACATGTTTCCAATTGTTAAAAAATAGACCATAAGAAAAATAACCGTGGTGGCTAAGATTCACTGTGATTCTGGTAGGAAGAGACAGTACCATTCCATAGCCACAGAAATGTTAGAAATATATATCACAAATAAAACTTTGATATCTATTTTGGCAGCCAGGAGCTAAAAGAAGATTCCACATATACGTGTTTGCAAAATATGGTCTTTTTTTTCTTTTTGCATATATTTGTATTTTGGAAGGTGTGCCACAAATTAGGCTCACACTCTCCCCAAGTGCCATTCCCATCCCTTCTCCCTGCCCAGTCTGCTGCTCTGCTTCTTGCTCCCTGCTCTGTGCTCTTTCTGCTTCCATGCTGCTTTGCTGCCTGTCTCCTCCCTCATTTGCCATGTGCCACACATAGGCTGCCCATGACACTTGTGGTACACATTATATGTAAACCACCCCTGTATTAGGGAGACAAAAAAAGAAGATTTAGTATGTGGACAGATTATGAGAGTAAAGGAGAAAGAGATGTTGAAGAAAACAGTGAGGCTAGGTACAGACATTCAAAAAGCCTAAGACAGAATCAATCTAAGGTACGCAGTTTTCTGTAAGCAGTGTAGTTTACATCGGTAGTAAACAGAATGCACCTTCCACCTATTGGTACGGGGGGGAGAGGGACAAACCTTAGTCTGGGTTCTGCTATTTTTAAACCAGTCTGTGTGCACCAGACTTCTGTTCTATTATGGGCACACCACTTTCCAATCATTTATACTGGTAAAAGTGTAATGTCCGTACCTGGGCTCAGGCTGCAGGTTGGAATGGCAGAGCAGAATTCTCAGCAGAGATGGAGAAAATAAAAAGAGAGTTTAGAAGAGTGATTTTCAACCTTGACAGACTTGAGGAACTGTTTAATAGGTTTGAGGCAGCCCTCAGAAAACACCACCACTTAGTTTTCACTCTTTTCTGACTATAGAAAAATAATAGAGCAATTCTTCTGTTGCAAAAAACTCAAAGATCACAGCTGGTCAGAATGTTTTTGACACTATGGATTCCTGGTTGAAATCTCTGGTTTATTTTGCCAGTCATGTTTGTGCATCTAACACTGTATGGCACCCCATGGCACCTGTGAAAAGATTTCAAGGCACCCCTGAATTTTATGGCAGTCTGGTTGAGAATCACTTTTTTAGAAGAAGGAAACATGACAAGATTTATTTTCACTGTGTTTGGTTGGAGGAACTGGTGAATCATAAAGGAAGGTATCAGAAAGGCAGAGAGAGAGAGATGAGCTTCAGGCAGAAAGGAGGAGCCAGGGCACTGAGTGTAGATGTGAACATTGTCAGCAGAGATCTGATGAGGAAAATTTGAGAGGAGTGGAGGTTGCCCAAAAGATACTGAATCTCATGCATAATGTTAGGTTTTTCTGGAGATTTTTTTTTTTTTTTTTGCAGTGGAAGTTTTGGAAAAAAAATCAAATGGATCATTTTCATGTAACTCTAGCAGAGACCCTTTGTTTGTTATTCTTATAATAAATTTACCACTATGAAATTCAAGGCTCATTATACTTCATAATGAATGTATTTTTCATAAATATTGCTACAGTATCATATAAGTACCCACTATATTAGTAATAGTAGTAGTAGTGTTGATTTTTATATGCAGCATATAAATCATTATGCTTCATGCACAAACTAATACAATTTTTTTAAACCCAGGATTTTAATTTGCCAATCTTTTACACACCATAGTGAATTCACATAAATCAATATGCTTATCTGCATTTCTTAGTGATACAAACCAGTGTGCAATGTGTAAATGAATCGAGACAGGCAGTAGTTCTAAGAAATCTACTGCATCACAGAGACTGTTTTTTAAAATCTAATTGGCCAGTAACAAATCAATTACTATTCTGAAAAAAATAATTATATGACAAATAAGTTGACTGTACATATTTTCCAATGCTATGGGAACATTTTGGGGTTTAATAACTGCTTAATTTGCAGATTCAAATATCTATGTGACCTTCTATTATGCATCCTATCCAATTTGCCATTTTTAAATTGCACCATAAGAAACCTGAAAGATAAACAGTTAATTACTAGATCTACAGATCACTTGCCTAATTGTATGGAATATAGCAGAGATAATGAGCTCATTGTGAACTGCAACAGCCATATAACGTGGCTCATGAAATGCTGATGGGACTGTCCGCACTGCATAGCAGAGATAAACACCCCACAAGAGGAATAAAAATTCAGCTGTGAGAAGAACAAAAAGAAATAATTTGCCATTAGTTTATAAATGAAAAAGAAAGGAAATTTGAAGTTATATAACATGTTCTGTATATGTGTGTATATACAAATATATACACTTATAGACAGTATGTATTCATAAATATATACTTACACACGTCTTAATATACTTTTAGATGTGGAAACTGTACACACTTCAGACATTCTCTTTAAATTTTTACACAATGTACAACTAGATCTAGAATCTTTGTCTTCAAGGGCGTCTATTTTTTTCAATATACAAATTCAAAGACAAGCCTCTAACAAATTCATATCCATTTCTCAAATGGTAGCTTAGCAACTTGGAGATATTTGTAATACATTTTTATAGTTCTAGAAGCCGATATAATTGCTACTACCATTTTATGCATTTAATTTCAAAGGTTTATAACTGCGATATCAGTTCATTTTGGATTAAAACACATCCTCCACTCAGTTTAGCTAATTCTGTTTTGCCTCTGAATTAGAATATTATGAGTCTCTGTTGAGAGGCCTAATGATCTGGTAATCAGAACAAGTGACACATTTCTTCCTAATATGAAAGAAGTAGGTAATGAAGGAAACAGATTAAGGATGAGTAAAGGCTCACGGCCAGCTCATATCATTCCTGCTACAGCTGACTGAACTGAATCTTACCTTTAGAGCTTGGATGCCAGTGGACATTTGTATTAGATTCATTTTGTTCTTAACACAATTACTTCACCTTAGTCAAATATACCTCGTATTTCAGGAACCCACCTCAGGAATTTAACCTGCCTTTTTCAGCCTCTTATCTACTATTCTTGAAGGCTTTTGAGAGAACAGACCTGCAAGTGGCCAACCCTACCTGGGCCATGCTCTTCAGTCATGTCCCAGGGCTTTCTCTGAGTTCTCAGCCAGTGTCAAGATATGACAATGTCTACATTGGATTGGGTTTGCTGAATGTTGTGATGAGTACCATGATACCCCTATATTTACCATTGCCCATTTCCTGTATATATGAAATTACTTTGCAAACCTCAGGTTAGATATATTAGAAACATACCTTTATCACATTTCACCCTATCAAAAGCACCAGTTACAGGTTCTTTTATTTTCTCAGAAAACAGTGAGCACAGTGACCTCAATAATTTTATTTTCAGTGTTAAATAACATTTCACTGAAGGGTCATCTGATATTTTATCAGAGATTAAAAGTGCCAAGAGGTCCATAAAAAAGTCTTGCTTCACCTTATAAATCTTGTTTTTCTCAAGACTCTCTCAGCAGCAATACAACAGTATTACAAACAGCTCTGGCAGAGCAGCTCCATGGGGAGAAGGATAAAGGCAAGTGGTTAATTTCTAGTCTTGTTAGGATTCTAAATGTTTGATCTAAAATAACTGGGTCTTACTGGTTAAACTGGTACAGCTGAGGTACTTGGATGAGACCTACGGGGGCAGTGTAATACAGTCCCATCTCCATTCGCGGAGCTCCAGTGCTTCTGAAGAGAAGGACGGTCTTGGGACCAAAGTGCATGAAGCTGGAGAGGATGAAAAAAACACACCCTAGCTGGGATCTCCTTTCCAGTGGAAGTCCCTGTATCCTCTTGCACTGAGGATATTTATATGGGGAAGGGGTAGCAGGGAGTAAGCCAGGAGAACTCCAGTCAAAAGAAGGAAAAAGACTGTAGTAGTGGAAAATTACATTATTAGGAATACAGACAGTTTAGTATGTGATGGGCAAGAGGACTGGCATGACAGCAGATCTCATGAGACATACTGACCCATTTGTTAGGAGTGCTGGGAAGGATCCAGAGGTGGTGATCCATGTTGGCACCAATGACAAAGTGCGGGAGAATATCTTGGAAGCTAAATTTAGGCTGATAGGGAAGAGACTTAAGCCCCACTGGGAACATGTTCAGAAATGTTTCTAGTACTGCACTCTAGTCCAGGGAGGCAGGCAGATCTGCAGAGTTTCAATGTGTGGATGAGGAGATGGTGTACAGAGGAGGGGATTAGGTTTATTGGGAACTGGGAATCCTTTTGAGACAGGAAGAGCCTGTTAAGGTGGAGCTTGCCCCTCCTGTACAAAAATGATACCAAACTGCTGACATGTAACATTAAAAAAAGGTGCAGATCAGCCTTTAAACTAAAAACTGAGGAAAAACTCACAGGTGCAAAACAGCACATGGTCCAGACAGATGCTTCCATTGGGGTGAAACAATAAACAGTTCAGATCCTCCCACAGAGGATGAGGAATAGGATGGAATGGCTCAAATTAAACAGGAAGGAGCAGCAAAAAAAAGGAGGTACCCAGTTTAACAGGATGCCCCAAAGTAGACACCTAGGCACAAATAAAAAGTGCATTTAGGCAAATGCCAGAACTCTAAAAACCAAGATTGGGAAGCTAAAATACTCGGCATTAAATTAAAAATCTTGATACAACAGGTATCTCAGAGACATGGTGGTTAAGAAAAAAAATATCACTGTCTACCATAATACCCAGGTACAAACTATAAGAAATGGGCCGTATTCAATTCAGATTCAGATTTGGCCTGAATTGGGGAACGTGATTCGATTTGGTGGTTCGGATCACTGTCCCTGATTGGATTCGGTTGAATCCGAATCTGAAGATTCAATGCTGATTTGGAGAATCAGGGATTCAGCCATAGATACAGCTTTAAATGTTTTTTCTACATACCTCAAGGTACCAGGCAGCTTGTGAATGCTGCAATGCTGGGGCGGATGGAGCATCCCATAGGAGCACAGGGTGGGGGAGCCCTGTGTGCTCGGCAGCGAACCCAGAAGTGGACCGGACATGCTTCTGGTCCGCTTCTGAGCCTGCTGCCACGCAAGCTGGGGAACCCCCCATGCTCCACTAGATTTGAACGATCTTCCGCTGGCAGCATTGATGGTACTTTTTCAGTGACTTGGGGTGTCTCCTGTATGTTGTCCATATCTCAGCTCCATACAGTGATGTGGGGATCACAACTGCTTGACAAACCATGAGCTTGGTTTCAGATATGATATCATAATTTTTTAACACATCTCCTCAGGCATCCAAAAGCTACACTTTGCACATTTGAGGTGATGTTGGATTTCTCCACTGATGTTGGATGTCTTCTGAGAGAGATGGCTTCCCAGGTATGGGAAATACTCAGTGTTCTTCAGAGTCTCTGTAAATCTGAATTACCAGAGCTGAGGGACTGGTCATTAAGAGCTTGTTGATAGAGGACCTTAGTGTGTTATTTAATATCTTCATTAGCAATTTGGATGAGGGTGCAGAGAGCACCCTCTTCAAGTTCACAGATGATACCAAGTTATGGGGCAAAGTTAATACACCAGGGGGGCCTGGAGCAGATAAGGGCCAATCTGGACAGGTTGGATCAATGGGCAGAACGAAATAGGATGAAATTCAACAAAGATGAATGTAAGGTACTTCACCTAGGGAGGAGGAATCCCCAGCACACCTATAGGTTGGGGGATGACCTCCTCAGCAGCTCAGCAGCTGAGAGGGATCTTGGAGTCATAGTTGACTCCAAGATGAACATGAGCCGGCACTGTAATGAGGCTATCAACAAAGCCATCAGGGAAGGCTCCAGAGATGGTGTCTTCAGGAGGGATTCGAATTCTACAACCACAAACAGCACTTCCAGGGAGAAGGTTTCCTAGGATGGGATGATCTCCATCTCTCTCCTAGAGGTAAGCATCTGTTAACCCGCAGGTTGGCTGATCTCCTCAGAAGAGCTTTAAACTAGGTGCGATGGGGAACAGGGAACCGGTGGTCAAGGAGAACCCAGGGTTGGAAAGCCACAATCAAGGCACCGGACCTAACCAGGTAAGCACTAATGGGAACACATGCCATCAAGGCAAATGGACACCAAGAGCAGCCACTGCTAAAATGGGGGGCTAAAATGTCTTTACACAAATGCCAGGAGTATGGCGCATGACTCGGCAGTAGGCATTGAGGGTTACGGGTTGTATAGATGAGACAGAGTGGGGAGAAAAGGCAGGGGTGCAGCTCTTTATGTTAAGGAGCAGTACACATTCCGTCATCAAGGCAGGAGTGGAGGAGGGGAATACCGAGGCATTGTGCATCAGAATCCAGGGGGGGCCAGGGGAAAAAGTCTTGGTAGTGGGGGTCTACTACAGACCTCCTCACCAGGATGATGAGCTAGATGAGGTATTCGCTAAGCAGCTCTCAGATGCCACACAGGAAAGCAAGGCAGTGGTCATGGGGGACCTAAATTTCCCTGACATCTGCTGGGAGGAACAGGTGGCCAAAACAAGCTGCTCATGGAGGTTCTTACACTGTGTGCAGGACCTCCACCTAATCCAGATGGTGTCCAGTCCCACCAGGGGTAGCGCCTTGCTAGACCTGGTCTTAGCAATAGGTGATGATCTCATGGGGGACATGTGAGTACACAGTAACCTGAGTGATAGCAACCATCACTTGGTAGATTTCACTATCCAGCGAAGGGTGAGAAAAATATCCAGTGATGCTAAAGTTTTAGACTTCAGAAGGGCCAACTTTAGTAAACTTAGAAACCTAGTTAGTAAGGAGGTGAAACTCAAGAGCATCGAGCTAATGGGGGTCCAAGAGGGTTGGAAGTTTCTCAAGGGAGTGATCCTTGGGGAACAAAAGGAGTCTATCCCCTTATGCAGGAAAGGGGCTAAGGGGATAAAGAAGCCCCGTTGGCTGAACAGGGAGCTTCAGGAAAGACTGGGGGCAAAGAAAGAGATCTATAGACAGTGGAAGCAGGGGGCAGCCACCAAGGAGGCATACACCACCCTGGTGTGCTATTGCAGGGAATCACTTAGGCAGGCCAAGGCAGGACTGGAGCTTAGGTTGGCTACAACAATCAAGGACAATAAATAGTCCTTCTACAGATACATAGCGAGCAAAAGGAAAGTGCAGAGTAGCACAGGGCCCCTGCAGGACAAATCAGGTCAGTTGATGGTTGATGCAGAAAAAAAGGCAGAGCTCTTCAATGAGTTATTTTCTTCAGT